TGGAGATTTAAATTAAAAAAAAGTATTTGAAATGGGTTTTGTTCAGGATTTTTTTTTTTTTTTTGAGAGGAATTTTGTCGAAAGTCTGGAAATTTTGAAATATTAATATTCATGTGTTGGAGATGTGCGTATTCTGTTTGTGAATGTAAGCTTGGCTTGATTTTTGCATTTTTTTTTTCCAGACTATGGCAACAAGAACGGCTCAATCACAGGGGATTTGCAGCAGTAATGACTGGTTACACGTAGCCGAGTTGCTCGATGATCTGTTAAGCTTATCACCATCTGCTTTGCGCGCCCGTTTATCGAGCAATGCCGAGGCATTACAACTCGTTGACATGGCTCTGGATAACTTCCAAACGTATTTTTTTTCGTGTGAATTCTGATTTTTTGAGGGATTTTTGAAAGGTTTTTGCGAGGCAGTATGCCGAGTTTTAAAGATTGGCCAAAGTACTTCTGTTGGGAAAATCGTTAAGCCGATAATCCGCGCAGGGCACGAAAAGAACGTTAGGATTGCCAGCAAGCTGACCACCAGGCGATGCAGCACTTTTAAAGCAGTCATGAAATGACCAGAAGCACTGAACAGCTCTTTAATCGGTCCGAGATGTTCTTAGTGAGTGTTGGGCATGGATATACAGATACGTTGATGGAGGGATTCTCTTGCAGAATTCATGGTTCGGTGTGTGGGAGTGTGTTATTTTCAACACTAATAGCTCGAGCGGTCTTGGCGTTGCTTAGGACTTATTTTACAGTTTACATAGGCGAATCCAGGACAGCTTCCTGGGACGGAGGGAGAGGGGGCGACGAGGGTTCGGGGGAGAGTATTCTTTAGTTTCCGCTTTAGACTCTGACTTTTGTAGCACTGGTGTCTGTGCTGATGGGTATAATCCAATGCCCTCCACCCCCTCCTTTCCTAGATCCGCTTTTGACTGTTTGCCACCAGTACACTTAAGATATTTGATTTAATTTAGAAGACGAGAAAAAACTTTTTAAAGTATTGATTTCAGGAGCAGCGAAGAAATCCACGAAGATGTTTCAGAGGTGTATACAAAGATTTTGTTCCTTTTTATGACGGCTGCTGTTGATGATGGAACGGTAACTCTCTTTGCATATCCATAAACAGCTGGAGAATAAGACTGTGAATTATAGCACACAGCTGTAATTCACAGTCTTATCTTCCGGCTATGCAGCTCGCAGCTTTCCCAGTGTTTTGACCA